GTAAAGCGGAATTGAAAAAGGGGGAAACGAAACCCCACCAAAACCTTACTAAAAAGCGCAGGTTTTGATTCAGCTTAAAATTGTCAGACTTTAGCATCGCTGGTTTGTATCGCCAGAGACAGAAGTGTCACGAATAGATTAAACAGCCCGGGCAGAGCTTGTGCAACACCCGCATACCGGCAGGCACGCGTCGCTGGGAGCTGTGCGCCTTCAAACTGGGGTGAAGCCACCCTTCCCTCTGAGATCACAGGTGCAGAAGCTTTGTTTAAAATGCCCTTTACGCTGCTTTTTTTAAATTATTATTTTCCTGGAAGCTTGGAAAAAAAAAAAAAACACCCGAGTTTCCAGCCGAAAAGCGAAGGGAATGAAACGCTGGGAGTGTGCAGTTGTATAAAAACATAGCTGTAATATTTTGGAGTATGAGATGGAGACCAAATAGCAGCATGGCTAATGACCTCTCCTCCACATGGTACCCTCATCAGAGCTGGGGAGAGAATCCTGCTGCATTATCCAAAACCCCTCTATAGGAAACACACATGCACAGGCAGAAGCAGAGGGAGAGAGATGACATTGTCAAGGGGAGATATCTCTATAAAGCCAGCTTTGGGAGAGTGGCGGCTTTTGCTTTTATTGGGTTTTTCTGTTGTTGTTTAAGACGGGAGGAAATCTTCCCATTTGACGTGGGGGTGGCGGGGGGTAGTCCCAGCCTTCTGATGTTGAAAGGAGCTATCTCCTAACATTTGCTCAGAATACATCTTTATAAATGTCAGGGAGCAGCGAAACTTTCCAGACTTAAAAGAGGGATTTGAGATGAGGGGGGAAAAAAGACTTCTGTGCAAGCTCGCGAGCCGGGGCTGAGGGGGGGAAGCAGGTTTGGCAGCTCATGAAAATCATTTAAAGCCCAGGAGCAGCAGCGTCAGGTCTGGAGGGGATGGGCTCAGCTGCGGCTCTGGGGCTAACGGGTTTGGTGTGCCGGGCCTGGGGACAACCCCGCTGCCGGCACCTAACAGCTGGCTGCGCATGAGGCATGTGTTTGCGCGGGCAGCGCGTTAGTATCCTTGGGCTTTTATGCCCTTAAATACCCAGGCTGGGGCACGGTTTTCTTATAATTCCTATACCTCATAGCTCTACATTCTCTGGGGACTTTGTATTTAAAGAGCTCGATAAGTGGGGTGTGTGGGGAAAAAAGAAAGAGCCTGGGGCCCAGAAGAAAGGCAGCTGTTGAAACCGATGGTGCAGTGGTCGGGGTGTGAGTCCCGGGCAGCCAGAGCGGTAGTAGGCTCCGGCAGAGGTGACGGAGGTGCGGGACGAATGTCTCAACCCCTCAGGGGGGCAACCCAGTGCCATCCTGCATGACCCCCCTGGATCTCTTTGAGCGCCCAGACTTGATGCCCATCTCAGATACTCCAGTGCCAGCTGGGACCTGCCGAGTCCCAAGAGGCCTCTGGGGTCACTGAGCCCTGTCATGCTCCTGAGTCACCTACACCTTTCTGCTTAGGGCATGTCTGGAGCGGGCATGGTTCTGTAACGGGCTCTGGTCCCTGTGTCCCGGGGCTTAATGCTCCTTCTCCTGGGGAGGCTTTGCTGGCGCAGGAGGTACCACCGCGGTCGTGGCTCCGTGCCCCCCTGGTAAAGCCCGGCTGGAGGCCAGTGATCTCGGCTCAGCCCATTCGCCCCTCTGAGGAGTAGAGATTATAATGGTGTGTTGTATATTTTTTAATTTCCTAAAGGTAACTGTTCAGTCCCCACCTAATTTTACACAGCATGTGAGGGAGCAGAGCCTGGTGACGGATCAGCTCAGCCGGCGGCTCGTCCGTACCTACCAGCTGTACAGCCGGACCAGCGGGAAACATGTGCAGATCTTGGACAACAAGAAAATCAATGCGATGGCAGAGGATGGGGATGTGCACGGTAAGGACGTGCGATGGGGGCGGGCGGCGGTGGGTGGGGGCAGCCGGGGAGGTGTTCGCAGCCCAGCGCGGCGATTGATGATTTCCGTCCTGTTTGTTAGCCAGAAATCATTAAAATCGTTCGGCTTGCGGGGGCTTGTAAAGGGAGAACATAGGGGTCAGCCATCAGCGGCTGCGTGATTCAAGGTGAGGGCAGGTTCCCCGTGCCGAGGGAGGGGATCGGTGTTTGCAGGATGGGCTCTGCTCCTTTCTTTTTTGTTCTTGGTTTGCACCTGACTCGGAGGGCTCAGGGCTGTGGCGTGCCAAGCAGCATCAGTCATTTCAGCCCAGCCCTTTGCAGGGCTGGGAATCTCTGAGACTTCCTTTTGGAAAAGAAATAGAAAGGAAAGTTGAAAAAGAAAAGGGGGGAGGAAGGGGGAACGGCTGCTTTGGAAATCTTCCCTAAACTAGAACTGTCCGAAGTGGTGTTTTCCCTCCCTTCTCAAAACAAATCCTGAGCGGAGGGTCAGCGAGGCGGTTGGCTGAGAGTGAAGATGCTGCAGCATCTCCAGAGACAAAGCGGGGCGACTCTGCGAGCGCCAGAGCCTGCGCTACGCCACGGCCCCTTTGCCATCACCCTGGCCCCGGCACCCCCTCCCCAAAACCTCCCCCGGGGGGACCGATCCCTCCGCTAGAAACACCCGAAGCCCAAATACTTTGATTAGTGACACACTGAGACAGTCAAACGCCGCGCAGGGGTCAGCGGGGCCAGCGAGCCCCGGCACTGCCACGGGGACGGCCGCGAGAGGCCTGATCCTGCACCTGGATCAGGGAAGTGCCTGTATTAGCGTGTGTTGTACATCGGAATCACAACTGTTTTTCTTCGGTATTAGCTGCAATTTCCCTTTCTTGCTTGGGGAGATTAGTAGAAACACTTTTCTTCCTTCCCCTTCTGTGGGTTTTTTTTTTTTTTTTTCTTCTTTTTGCATTGGCTGAAAATTTCACACTGGACTTCAGCAGTTCAAGCGCAGCACAGATTCCATCTATACAGTATTCCATACATCCAGCATTAATCTTCCAAATGAATTATTCCCACCCTAGAGCAGCTCTGGCTTGAAAGGGCATTAGCTAATTTCCCAAGCAAAAAAAATCCTGTCTTGTTTTAGTCCTATAATGCCTGGATTTTAAAAAGCAGTTAGTGCATATTTAAATAACGACCAGGTTTAAATAAGGCCAGAAGGAGGGGACTGGTGGTGGCTTGAAAAACTCTATTAAAATGTAATAAAAGAAGGTTAAGCATTTGAAGAGCTAAGGAGGAAAATGAAGACTGATCTAAACCAGAAAGGGAACAAGCAGTTTTTCAGATGTAAAGTTTTAAAAGAGTTGCAAGTCTGTAAATGTTAAAATAGAGGTTCAGGATTGTTCTATATGAATCTCTAGGGAGGCCCCCATGTCTGGAAGAACTATTAAAACGCTTCTTACTTTCACCTTTTTTAACATTTCCTGAATACTTTCTCCTCTTCGCAGTCCAGTTGGGGGATCAAGTGTGTCTCGCTGCATTTTTTCAGCATTTACGTAGCCACTTTCCCTTCAAAGTTTGAGCATGAAACATAATTTTACTGGGATAAATCTGTCACTTAAGTGAAAGAATAGAGTTGAAAACGTCACAGTCCCCCCCCCAAAAGAAAAAAAAAAAAAGACTCCCCCAAAATGTTATTTAGAAATCCACTTTGAAAGAAAAGAGCCCCCTCACCCTGAGCCCTTCCTTCTGCTTTTTTTATCTTATTTTTGGGGGTGGGCGTGTAAAAGGGGTTGATTTATTTTTGCAGATGACCCCTTTCCCCACGCTGACGTTTTTACAGCCGACTTAACATCGAGTCCGGCGTTTTCAGTTATCTGTCTTAATTGTCAATATTTGATTGACTTTTTTAATTCTAAGGGAAGGCGGGTGGCCGGTGCGGCCCACCTCGTCCCTCCTGGGCCGTGTCTGCCACCGAGCAGCCCACCGCCGGCTGCAGCCTGGACTAAACCCCACAAGTGGCCAGGGATGCTGGAGCAGGTCCCTGCCAACTTGCTGGTTTTGTCTGCGCCTGGGTGTTTTCTGCTGGTCAGGGTGGGGTTTTGCAGGGTTTTGTGGGTCACCAGCACGAGTCTGGGGGTGCAGGTACCTGGGGACAGGTTGTCCTTGTCCTTTGCTGTTGGTGGTTAGTGGGGCCGGAGCCGTGCACTGGTTGGGCTCGTGTGGGGTGGTGAACCACCCGGCTGGTGGCTGTAAATCACAGAGGAGGGGTGGGGGGAAGGCCAAAAGGAAAGCGATGTGCACCTTTAAAGCGGGGTTTTGTGCTCGCTGGGGCTGAGGCCTCCCTACTCCCTCCCTTCCTCCTCTGTCCCTCCCTCCCTCCCCGTTCTTTCTATCTCTGGGAGAGAAAAATCAATTCTCCTCAAACCTTTTACTGCCTCGGAGATCAATTCCCTCCCTTTTCCCCAATATAGATAAATAGGGGGTCACTGTCTCGGCGCTTCATTTGCAGAGCGCTGTGGCTCACGTGGCTGTTTTGGGGGATTCTGGGGTCTGTGCCAGGCGTTGGTGCCAGGGTGTCACAGCCCGGAGTTGGCTCTTCCCAAATTTCTCGGCTTTTGAGTCCAGTCTGTGCTTGGCTGGGGGTGAGGGGCTGCAGGCATGGGGCAATTTGGGGACGAGAGATGCTGCAGGGTGACATGGGCAGGAGGGAGTGTGGGGAGGGGATGCCTGCATGCGCATCGAGCCTGGCTTGCCCGGCAGCACTGAATCAGTCAGTCCCAGAAAATTTTGGGATGCCCTTTCCGTTGCTGAACTTGGGTGCTGCCAGCACTGCCCGCTTGCCTTCCCCATCCTCAGTGCCATTGACCTCAGCAGTGTCCATGATGCAAGGGATGTGGGATCAGGGCATCACAGAGGCAAAGAGGCAGCAGTTTGCTCCTAGCCCAGAGTGTGATTTGGGCTCGTTTTAGCTTGTGTGTGCGCCCAAAGCCGCCTCCTGCCATTCAAAGCATCCTCCTGCAAAGCCACCAGCTCCAGAGCCACATCACTGCCCTTGCTGGGGCTCGCCGGTGGCTGAGCATCCTGGGGTAGAGATGTGGACCACAGTCCTGAGGAACTGAGCAGCCCTTGAGCAGAGATCAGAGAGGAGAAACAAGGCATCAATGGGCTTATTCCCATAATAAGGCTGTAAACTTGGAAGCCTTGTGGTCTGCGCTCTGATTACCTTGCCAAATCGTGCTTGTGGTACTAGGGGCTGATGCTGGGCAAGAGGTGATGGTGATGAGATGGGATAGTCCCGGCTGACTTTTTAGTGCAACAGGGAAATCTTTGGTGCTTGGCACAGCACAGACCTTTTGAGGCGCAAACAGGTAGCCACCATTTCCATCAGGGCTTGCCCCAGGGAGGGGAGCTGGCTCTGGGAACAGCAGCTGCAGGGCTGGGCAGAAGGATGTCCTGTCCCCATCCTCCCCCTTCCCTGGGGATGGATGGGCTTCGGGGCTCGAGTTCCCAGGGCGGAGGCAGGGAGGGAAGGTGACAGGTCTATTTATAGGCGGCCCATCGACCCGGCGATTTGCATAGCTCCTTTGGAAGTCGATCGATGCCTCCATTAAAAAACTGAGACCAAATCAATACGCCCTCTCGACTCGTGCAAAGGTGAAAGGCATTAAAAGGATGGCCGTACCCTTCACGCCTCCCCTGCCAGCTGCAAAGTCACTGCTCCTCCTGCAGTCCTGGCCCGGCAGAGAGGCGCAGAGCGGTGTCCCCTGGGCTGGGGACAGCTGGCAGCACGCTGTACGCTTCCAGAGGGTGCCTGCCTGCAGGCTGGCCCA